TGTATGTACGAGTAAAAGGATAAACAAAAATGTATACTTTTTTTAAATAGTGAAATATAAATTATGTTCTTAAATTTATTGGAACTAAGCTAGAAAAATGCCTGTGATTTTCAATTAAATTATAAAACATGGGGTAAAGTTGTTTTTTAAATCTAATTGGTGYATTTTAAGTGTATCCATTTGTTTATTGGTCCATTTATATATTTCTGTTTTTATGTCTAATTATGTCAGTTTTGGTCCTCCGTACCTACAGAATGTAGAAATGAAGAAATGATGCAACACAGTGGTAAACTTACTTTTGTGGAAAAAAATTTAGTAAAAATCATTAAATTCTTCTTTATCTTTTTAAGAGTTTGGATAAAGAAAATAATGCAAATAGCAGGCCTGAACTTTWAATGAAGCCAAATGTTAACCTATGTGTCACCTGTAAGATTTTAGTCATTCTTATACATTTCTTAGCTCCTCCCCTTTTCCTTTTGCCTGCTTAGCCAGCTGCTTCCTACACCCCTCCCCGTCCCCATGGCTCACCCAGCTTCTTCAGGGAGCTGTAGCGGTTGAGCTCTGGTTTCATGACGGCCTCGTAGGACGGCGGCAGCTGGGCCAGGTTGTGGAAGGAGTGGGAGAAAGACGGGTGGCTGCTGTTGTATCTCATGCTCCCTCCCATGATGCCGCTGCCAATCCCTCCGACACCTTTACCACTGCCAGAAATCAGGGTGGGCCCAGATGATAACTGGGGGGTGTTGTTCATACGAGTCCCACGCTCTGGCGAGAGACAGAAAGAGACGGACGGGAAGCAGAAAGAGAAAAAAGTGAGTGAAGGTACATGATAAAAAATAAGAGAAAGTTGCAGATTTAGGAAAAAAGAGGGGAAATAAAGGAAAACAMAAAAAGGAAGATATAATTTAAATAAATGATGGGAAAGAAGTTGATAAACTAATAGAAGAAAAAGAAAGAAAAAGACTGAACGAGGGTAGAGCCTTCAAGCTGGTCAACTATCAGCGAACACAAGAAGTGTCTCTGAGCTCCATGGCGACCATCTATAAATACAACTGTGTGCTGTTCATCCAAGGCTCCAACACCAACATACCAGCCACATGTAAATACAGAGAAATACACGCATAGCTTCAGGAGTCGTCGCTGCACAAACACACACAATCACATTTACGCAAAGTGCAAAAGCAGCACATTGATCAATACACATAAAAATGATTTTTCTTATGTAAGATTTGCAATACAGGGGAAGAATGTTTGTTTTGAAAACATGTAGTGAAAATTAGTTACATCATAAGAGCCACGAGCTCCAAACAGCAAACAAAACAGCACGTTAAATGGCCCAACGTGCAGGAGACAACCTCAATGCTTTTATTTTAAATTGGGGTTGTAGCTCCAATATAATTAAATAACAGTTTATATTACACATCAAATCATAAAAATGCTCCTTATTACTTACAATTATCCTCCTGAGGAGAAGAATTTACAAAAGAAAAACAAAGAGAAGCTCAACCGCTGAACGTCACCAGCGGCTGTTAGAGTTCAAATCACAAAGCGACAATTAAAGATGATRTAATTGGGGCCATTTGCTGTTGTTTCCTGTTGTCGACACAGAGACACTATCAGTGCTGAGTCCATTCAGGGCGGGAAYGGTTATGGGCTGCGATCTTGTTAAGATAACTGCAGGACATATACTGGTCATTGACCATTGACAGTAATGGGCAGTAATGGCCAATGATGTCTCTGTTAAGTGCCACCCGGGGAACACAAACCACATCGACTTCTGCACGACACTCGTTACACGCACGCACACACAGACACACACGCACGCACACACAGTAGGAAAAAGCAATGCCAGCTCTGAGACTGTATGGTTTTAAAGCACAAACTGATCACGATGAAGGCTGGAGGAAAAGAAAATTACAGAACCAACACAGGTATAAACTGATTAAAATTGTTACTTTCTTTTTTTTTTTTTTTTTT